TATATTATCTTGACAAGTCGACATAGTAAATATTGTATGTTGTCATGGCAAGATAGATTATCTTGACAAGTCGACATAATATAAGTTGTATGTTGTCATGGCAAGATAGGTTATCTTGACAAGTCGACATAATAAAAATTGTATGTTGTCATGGAGAGATAGATTATCTTGACAAGTCGACATAATATAAGTTGTATGTTGTCATGGCAAGATAGATTATCTTACGCCGTGTGTGTGAACATAGCCTTAGTTGTTTCAGCATTTGAGATACACTGGATGTTCTGGCATAATCATGCAATACAAAACGGGCTGCTCGTCGCTGAATTTTGTTGATGTTTTCGATGTTACTTTTTTGGTGGAGATCCCCTATGGTCTGACAATACTCTAAATGGGGGCGCACTAAGGTTTTATATGCAATCGCTTTAGTTATTTGTTACAGCTGGAAAGGTTCCGTCTCAGAAAACCAAGAATTCTGTTGGCCTTCGTTGTGATTTGATTGATATGTCTAGTCCAAGTGAGGTCAGATGCCAGTTCAACACCTAGGTAGGGGTAGTGATGTACTTCTTCGAGAAGACTTTCACGGTTCACCCATCCTATAACGGCAATAATAGGCTTGATTTTATGGGTAACTCTCATTGAATAGCACTTGGAGTGGTTGAAACCCATTTGCCACTTAGTTTCCCAGTCACAAAGATGATTGACATCGTTTTGGAAAATTGTGGTATCTTCAGGATTTTTTATTTCACGGTAGATTATGCAGTCGTCAGCAAACAACTTGACACTTGAAGATCGTTAATATATTTTTCTATTGACTATGTTAATATAGACCAGAAAGATATTGTATGCATGACTGATTTTGTAAATCACGTGATTAGCCTACTTAATACATATTAATTATTATTGGTAAATTTTCAAAATTGAAGATGCAGATGTCTCGACTAGGACAAGCTAACCAGCTCCCTTCTGCCTGCCCACCTACTTGAATTAAAACAGTTAGTAGGCCTATATAGTTCTGGCTTGCTGAGAACGACTATGGACTGATAACCGTAGTAGGCTATACATTTTACATCTCCCTGCTTACAGTATGAGGCGCCATCTGTTCACTTATTATTTAGCAAAAAATGACATGGTTTTTTACGTTATATATTTATATAATATTTTATATAATATATAATATTTTATATAATATATAATATTTTATATAATATATAATACTTTATATAATATATAATTTTTATATAATATATAATTTTTTATATAATATATAAAAAATTATATATTATATAATATTTTATATAATATATTTTATAAAATATATAATATTTTATTTAATATATAATTTTTTATATAATATATAAAAAAATATATATTGTATAAAAAAATATATATTATATAAAAAATTATATATTATATAAAAAATTATATAATATATAAAATATATATTATATAAAATATTATATATTATATAAAATATTATATATTATATAAAATATTATATATTATATAAAATATTATATATTATATAAAATATTATATAAATATATAACGAAAAAACCAATGCTTATTTTCGTTGGCCATTTAATGAACACTTGGCGTGGGCCGAGTGTTGATTTCTTATTTAGCAAAAGTCCTTGATGTGTCTGACCATTTTTCCATGGTCTGACTAATGAGGCCATTTGCTTTTTCAATGGAATTTTAATTATACCGTAAATCACATAGCTTAAAACCTCAAAACAAACTGTTTACATAACCTATAAATGTTTGCAGTGTTCATTCAGTAGTACTTTGATCATAGAGAAAGTTAAAAAAACAGCATCATCTTTAATTTTTATACAAAAATTTGTATTTTTATTCAAAAATTGTTTCAAGAAAATCTGATATTTTTCAATAATCTTCCTTCTTACCGTTATTACAAATGTTATGTTATATATTCTTATATACGCTACGCTTTGAGCTGAGCGTTTGGCTAATTGGTATGGTTCCTGCCTCTTGCACGCCAAGGCCTGTGTTCGATACTCAGCTCTGCATCGAGTATTGAATTCGGGTCTTTCATAATAACAAAACGCACAGCTCCTCGAATAACCCTCTCAGGAGAGTTAGGCGAGTTAAGGACCACATATGTATCAGTCTGTATCCGTTTGATGTTGTAGAGTAAGTGGGGTGGTTGGCGCCGAGTTATGGCAGCCGCGGTTCCCCGGGGACCCAGCCCGAATTTCCCAGTGTGTAGGCATACATATAAAAGGACAAATAAAGAATTATTGTTATATACAGGTCAGGAATTAAATTCATAATACATTTATAATGTATACACACATTCATGTTTCTCTATAAATAGTGAACTGTGGTCGCTAAATAAATCGTTCGAAAATAAAGTAGATAGTTTCCAAAGAGGTTTAGTAAGACGAGTTTTAAATATTTGTTGGCCATTTAAAATAACGAACATTGAACTCTCTAAAAGAACTGTTGATGAGAAATGGTCGACAAAAGTTATGAAAAGGCGCATGAAATGGTTAGTGCATCTACTACGATTACCAGACGATACACCTGCCAAACGAGCTTTTCATGAATATAGACCGGCAGCCAAGAGCAGTTTGATCAAACGAACAAGGTACCAATATCCGAGTACAGGAACATTTATTATGTAACATAAAATATCAATATATGGACGTCTGCCGGGGACTCCCTGCTGGGTGTGCTCCTTGGAGCACCAATTAAGGGGCTGAAAATGGGCTAGATCATGTTTTGGAGATACCACATAAAACCAACTTAAAATTAAAAAACATACTCTACTATAGTATAAAAGTGTATTGCCAGACAGACTATCCGCTGGATATGTTCCGCCAGACACCCCCAAAAGGGTCCTAAATTTAAGGGCTAGATCATGTATTGGAGATACCACTTAAAATCAACTTAGAATTGACAAACATAGGCCTACTCTACTAAGTATAAAAAGTATATTGCCAGACAAATTATCCGCAGGATATGTCCCGCCAGACACCCCCGAAAGTTCCCCCTGTGAACACTGTGATATAATTGGGCTAGATCATGTATTGGAGATACCACATAAAATCAATTTAAAATTAACAAACATACTCTAATAAGTATAAAAAGTGTATTGCTAGACAAATTATCCGCTGGATATGTCCCGCCAGACACCCCCAAAGGGGTCCTAAATTTGGGCTAGATCATGTATTGGAGATACCACATAAAATCAAATTAGAATTAACAAACATACTCTACTAAGTATAAAAAGTGTATTGCCAGACAAATTATCCGTGTCTGGCGGGAAGATGTGTATAAGAGACAGATGTTGCCCCTGTGGACACTGTGATATAATTGGGCTAGATCATGTATTGGAGATACCACATAAAATCAACTTAGAATTAACAAACATACTCTACTAAATATAAAAAGTGTATTGCCAGACGAATTATCCACTGTATATGTCCCGCCAGACACACTCAAAAGGGTCCCCTATGCTGGACAGTGTGATATAATTGAGCTAGATCATGTATTGGAGATCCCACATCAAATCATCTTAGAATTAAGAAACATACTCTACTAAGTATAAAAAAGTGTATTGCCAGACAAATTATCCGCTGTATAGGTCCCGCCCGTCACCCCCAAAAGTTGCCCTCTGTGAACACTGTGTGCTAAAATAGATGGTGAAAGTACATCACATGAAACCAAGTTTAAATGAATAGGTACATTCACAAAGCAAACAATAACACAATGACCCTTTCCAAATGTTACTCTACGTAAGGCCTCCAGATTATAGGATACTTAGGCCTATATTAGTCATAAACATCAAGGTACTCGATTGAAAGTTTTTTCGTTTTAAGTAAATCCCCACAAAAAATTAATGGAGGTGGCACAGATTTTACATGATCGGTATTACAAATATAATTATAATCTAAAGAGTAAGTAAAATCGCTATCAAGTCTTTATGTCTTCATGATTATTGATATTAATGTTAATTGTCTGTTTCACTTTCTGAGTTATCATTTTCTGAATCATCACTCCAAGAATTCCGAAACATGAATCGTCGTCATCATCATCATCATCATCAAACTCCTCAGCGACATCTGGTTGGACACTCTGGAGATTCACTGTAATATCCTCCTCTCGTTCCTCTTCCTGAAAAAGACAATCTGGCATTGAATGTCCCGAATACCAGTCAGGAATATAGTATCCATTCTTTTCCTTCTGTGACCAGCACAACTCGTACAAGACGAGGAATTCTCTAAATCGGTTCAATCACTGGACAGACAGAGAAGAAGACCGAATTTATAAAGCAAATCAATTAGTTTATTAAAATATCAAAGACAAGTTAGAAATGAATAACAGTTTCAAGGTCACACGTAAACGCAGTCAAATTCGAGAACGATCTTACCAAGAAATTAAGTTAAGCACATAAATGATAATACGTTAGATATTAAGAAACTTTAACAAAATCGTTAATTAAAAGTAAAGTAGTTAATAATAATAAACGCTAGGTAAACGTACTGTAAAT